TCAACACAATTTAAACATTGAAATGTTGGGCTGGAGATTTAGCTCAGTGGCGCCACACCTGCCTTGAAAGCCCAAGGTCTTGAGTTCAATCCCTGGTAGCAAAAAAACAAAAAACATTGAAATGTTTAAGTAAATATGTAATTCATAAAGACTGAATGTAAATTAACCTAATATGAAAAGGACTTTTGTGAGATTTTCAAGTTCTTGCTCAAGTAATTATTAGAAAGGACTTTTACAAATGCAGAACAATCTATGAGGAATAAATTATTACTGTGGGGGAGGACAAATAGAAATAGAAAAAGATGATATCAAAATACAACTTTAGAAAGCTTGTAGGCAGGGAGCTGAGAGAGCAGCCTAAAATTGCAAAGTGCTTGCCAACCATGCTCAAGGCCCTGGGTTTGAACCCAGCACCCCCACCCTCCCATCTCACATACAAAAAAATGTGTAGCCAACATGTTATCAACAAAATAGTTTTATATTTATTCTACTTGACCAGGTCTCTTGGGCCCTTTCTCTGGATATATATCTTGAAGTAGTAAAGTGATTATGAATGAAAAACAGGCCACTAAAGTGACTACTATCCTCAGGGCTTTGAAGCAGTTGGGTAATGTTGCAAGAGAAAAATTTCAATGTGTAATGCTATCCCCAAACCTATTATTACTGTGATTATGGCTTCATTGAGGGTTTCAGAAATGAGGAGGGCAAACCATGAAAACAACAGGAGCTACACCATTAGCTAAATTAACGTAGTCCAGTTTGGCTGGACTACCTTCTGTCAGAGCAAAACCCCATCTGATCCCTCCCGAAAAAGACAAGAAACTGACTCCATAAGCCATCTGAGTGAAAGCTAATACAGGGATATAAGACTTTGTCATCACCATGATTAGTGGTGGAGCAATAAAAGGGATTGGTCCTGCCACAGTTATATACAATGCTGGCTTTGGGGTTTTAGGCAGGTAAGTGATGGTGATTGGTGGCCTGGCTGGAAGTACTTCTTGCTTCTGCTTCTTCTTAAAGCTGCACAGCGATGTATGATAGTATTGTGCCTTACTCATACACGCTGGAAATGAAGGAAAACACCAAGATCTTGGAAACAAAGAGGAAAGGTCCCACTGCAGAGATGTCTTGAGAGAAAGTGTATCTGTTCTCCTGCTGGCTCCTAGTCTCATTGTGAAAGGACACTTCAACATCTTTGAAGATGCTTGAGAAAACCTCTGAATGAAGTGAAGCATACTAGCCCCTATTGAAAGTTTTCTTCGGGAAGATGCCATGCAGTTCTGATTAACATATTTTTACAGCTTAGTAGAAGGGCTGAATCAGAAGCATGTTGCTGATACTTGCCAGCAGCGTGCGATCTTGTAGTAACTGTTTTTCTTCAATCTTAGTTCAAAGAGGACTATATATAACTGGGTGAAAGATAATGTGCCAAGTGTAGTGTAGCTAGGGAGTGGAGCTAGACTTTTGGGGTGGCCAAGTTCCAATCACCGAATGGGTGGTTCTTCTACAGACAAATGTTGCAGGAGGTAGAAAACATCTTTAAAAAGAAAAACATTGGAGAGAAAAAATGGGAACTTACTTCATGAAAGACTTTCAGATGTGTAGTACTGTATTCTTCTCTGTGTGCCTCTCCTGGAAAAAACAGAAGAAAGAAAATAAAAAAGACCTATATCAAAACATCCTCAACCCACAAAACTATTTAGAACCACCTGCCATACCAGCTTAAGCAAGGGAGAGAGATCTTCTGGAGAGGGCAGAACTCTCAGGTGGAACGGGACATCTATTTAGTGTTCTTCCTTCCTATGACACTTCCAAGCCTACTCCTGATTAGAAGAACATCTTCAAGAGCCTTGTTCTCTGTAAAATGACAACTGTAACCACCCAAGTGTCAGCTGGCAAAATGCTACCCATCAAATAAGGAAGGAATATAGAGGTGTGGGAGACAGCATTATTAGTAGCAGTATGTGGCAGGTGATGCCAAAACCTTTGGAAAATGTAGTTTAAAATCATGTATCTATGTTCTCCCAACGAATGAAGGATCGGCTTGTGAGGTGTGGAGTAGTGCCAGCCCAGAGGCTCTCTTGCTCAAAATGTGGATCTCACTTTGCTGTAGTCTGAGCAAACCTATTTTAATTTTACTCAATAGAATCTCCAGAGGTTCTAAAAAATCTCACACAAAAGAGGTTATGTCTTACCTTTATACTTTCAAGGAAATGTAGCCTGGGGCTGAAAAAGCTGCCAAAGGCTGAGGCTGGGGAAGGCAAGACTGGATACCCTGTGGTTGTAATTTGTGTCAGATTGTGCTTGAGACTGAGAGAAGTATTAATGGCCCATTTGATTGTGTGTGAGAGGCTGTCTGGGACAGAATGATGATAGTTTTGGGGGAGATATCTGTGATTAATCAAGCTGTGACCAAATATAATTTATAAGAAAGTGTTTGTTTGCATGGTAATGAATTTTGAATAGATTCTTTTGGATCTTTATAAATTAAGTGAATGATACATTGAGAATCCACTTGTGGTGGGAATCTGGGGGTGGGGGATGCATGAACATAATATTGTGAGGAGAGTTAAAAATCATCAAGTGCTATGGTGCTATCTCCAAGCATCAGTTTCTTTATGTGTAATGCTCTGGAACATTGCCGTTCAATAGAACTTACTACAAAACTATATTCCTTTTTTATATCGATGCTGTCCAATACTATACCCAATGGTCACATATGGCTGTTGAGAACCTGACATGTTGCTGGTTTGACTAAGGAACTGGACTTTAAATTCTGATTAATTTTAATTAGTCTAAATTTAAACAGCTAGCTGTAGGTAGCTTGTAGTCTTCCTATTGGACAATGGAACCTGGGGCATTATTTTGCCTTAAAAGATCTAAAGGGGGTAGCTGAGCTTGGTGGCACACACAAGTAACCCCAGCACTCTTAGAGGCTGAGGCAGGAGGATTACAAATTTGAGCTTAGCCTGAGTAACTGAGTGCATTAGTGATTCTCATTCTCTCTCTCTCTCTCTCTCTCTCTCTCTCTCTCTCTCTCACACACACACACACACACACACACACACACGCACAAAAATTAAATTAAAAACCTGGGGATGTAGCTCAGTGCAAAGGCCCCAAGTTTAGTCCCCAACACTGGGGAAAAAAGATTTGAAGGGGATAAAAATGTAAGTAATTGATCTGGTAAATATTTGAAAAAAAATGAATTTTATAGTAAATGAAAAGAGATAAAATACAAACTCAGTCTTTTTTAAATTGAGCAATAATTTATATAATGTAGATATATATTGTATATACATCCCAATGATTATTTTCATAGGCAGCCACCACACACAGATCAAGTTAGATGCCAGAATGCTCCCTTGTGCCCCATCCTACTCGAACTGCCTTCACCCAGAAATGACTGTTATTTGGACTTCTAGCACCATAAATCATTAGTCTGGGATAATTCTGAACTTCATTTGAAAGTAATCTATGTTTTTGTTTTGTTGTATTGGTTTTTTGAAACAGGGTCTCACTATCTAGTTTAGGCTGGCTGTGAACTATGTAGCCCAGGCTGACCTCAAACTCATGGTGATCCTCCTGACTCAGCTACCTGGGTGCTGAGATTACAGGTGCGCACCACCATCCCTGGCTTTGAATGTAACCAATGTGATGCTATGTGGCCATACTGCAAGTATTCAGTACCTCGATTTTAAGTAGTCAACATGCTGATAGAGACTTCATATAAAAGAGTGCAGGTCTAATCCATTAATTTCCACACATGAGTATAGTAATTGCTTTCTTTTATTCATTCTTTAAACATATGAAGTGCCTACAATGGGACAGGTATTATAATAGTGTTCAGAGCTGAACAAAAAAATTTGAACCACCAATCTTAATGTTTTTTATACATTCTAGTGTATTTAAGATTTCAATGTGTAGAGCACTGGCAACTTCCATAAATTTTTTTTTTTTGTATCAGGGATCGAACTCAGGTCCCTGCCCTTGCGAGGCAGGTGACAGAACCAGAGCTAACTCCCTGGCCCCCATAAATTTTAATATATAGACATTTTAAAGTCATTCACTTCAAACTGATTATAGTTTCATAGTTAATTTTACCTTTAGAAGAACATTATGGAAATTTCCAAATACATAAAAATTCACAACAGAATCACAAAACAAATAAAAACCATGTGTTCAAGACTCTGTTTACCATCACTTTGCCAAACAAATTATCTACCTTCACTTTTCTTTTGCATGAGCATTTTAAAGGACACTCCAGACATCATATCTTCTGTATATAAATTTCAGAATTTATCTCTAACAAAGACATTTTTACATAACTACAGTGCTATTATCCATACCTAACAAAGACAGTTTCTTAATATTGCCTAATACTATCAATGTTCCCATTTTTCTAGTTGTAAAAATGTCTTGCTTTAAATGTTCATTCAACTCATGATCTAAATAAGAACCACCCTTTCACAGTATGTGATTGATAAGTCTCTTAAGAGTTCCACCTAGTTTTTCAATGTCATTTTATTCACTGAGAAACCATTTCATTCCTCGTGTAGAATTACTTACATTTTAGATATGTCATGTCATGTAATTTGTTTTTCCATTCCTTTTCTCTAAACTGGGAGTTAAGATATTCAGCCTTAAATTCAGGTTCAATACTATGGCAAGTGTACACTGTACTATAGGACATTAGGAGGCACATAATATTTTATGGCCCTAGTTTGTGAGTTTGAGAGTGATGTGTGGGTTCAGATGTTGCTAGCCTGATCTATTCGCTATAAAGTTCAAGTCAATCTTTCACTCATGACCTTAATCTCTATGGAGATTCTTCCCTAGATACATTATTATAAAATGTTTTTTCTAGTAGAGTTTTCTAATTCTGTATTTTTTTACTGGAATTCTCTATAAAAATCTTCATATCATCTTCTGGTTACCAGTAAATAAAGTTTATACAGGAAACACAGGCTAAATGATCTTCTGTTTATTTATTAAGTTACATTATGAATTCGCTGATGGTAAGTAAGGTGTGAATGCTGTCTAAATGCCTTCTTACACTCCTTACATTTATATGGCTTCTCGCCAGAATGAATCCTCTGATGTTGAATAAGAGATGAATGAAGTCTAAAGGCTTTTCCACATTCTTTACAGTCATAAGGTTTCTCACCAGTATGAATGCTCTGATGCTGAGTAAGCTGTGAGAGCAGTCTAAAAGTCTTCTCACATTCTTTACATTTATAGGGTTTCTCACCAAAATGAATGCTCTGATGTTGAGTAAGTTGTGAGAACAGCCTAAAGGCCTTCCCACATTCCTTACAGTCATAAGGTTTCTCTCCAATATGAATACCTTGATGAGAAATAAGTTCTGAGTAACGACGAAAGAACTTCTGACATTCCTTACACTCGTACGGCTTCTCACCTGTGTGGATTCGCTGGTGGAGAGTTAGATGATAGCCACGACTAAAGGTCTTCCCACATTCCTTACAATCATAGGGCTTCTCACCAGTATGGATTCTCTGATGGAGAGTAAGCTGCTGCCGCACTCTAAAGGCCTTTCCACACTCCTTACAGTCATAGGGTTTCTCGCCAGTGTGAAGTTTGTGATGGACTCGAAGGCCTGTACTACACAGGAAGGCCTGACCACATTCTTTACACTCATAGCACTTCTCAGCAATGTTAAGTCTCTGATGTCGAGTCAGGTGTGCATACTGTCTAAAGGTCTTGCCACACTCCTTACACTCATAGGGTTTCTCACCAGTGTGAATCCTTTGGTGGAGATTAAGTTGTCCTCGTACTCTAAAGGCCTTCCCACACTCTTTACATACATATGGCTTCTCACCAACATGAATTCTTTGATGTACGCGAAGGTCTGAGCTACACGTAAAAATCTTTCCACATTTTTTACACTCATAAAGTTTGTCAGATGTATGAATTCTTTGATGTCGACTAAGGTGGGCACACTGTCTAAAGGTTTTTCCACATTCTTTACATTCATAGGGTTTCTCACCAGTATGGATTCTCTGATGGAAAGTAAGCTGTTGGCGTACTCTAAAAGCCTTCCCACAGTCCGCACATTCATAGGGTTTTTCTCTATTCCGACTTTTTTGATATAAAGCAAAGGATGAGAGTTTTCTGTAAGTGGCTATTTTTTCAGGGGTACTTTTTGTCACTTGCTTAAAGTATACCTTGTGAGAATCCTCTTGTCCCTTAAACGTTTTATATTCACAATCTTTTCTGAAAAAAGAGTCTTCAAGCCTACAACTTTGGATTCTTTCCATTATTTCCCAATGAGATAAATTGATTTCATAAATATCATTTTCTTCAAATAACTTTTTAGTGTCATACCTGGATTCCCAATCTGAAAGAAAACAAGATAAACACATGATATTTTCCTATTCTAGATGAAACAAACAAACAAATCAAACCTTTATAATAGAAAACGAAAACAACAGAAAATAAAGCCCAACTGACATAAATGGGCTAAAAAACTCAAAATAAATTATGTAATCTGGAAAAAAGCTAAAGGGAATAAAGGATATAATGAGTGAAGACCAGATTGCTTTGATGCAGATCATAGTTTGAGAATCCCCACTTAAATTTTCTAATGATTTTTCTAGTTAATCAGAATAAGGTGCAAACCCTTTACCATTAATAACATGACCTCTGGGCCAGGGATTTAGCTCAGTGGTTTTGCCGCCTACTGCGCAAGTGCAAGGACCCGAGTTCGATCCCCGGTACCAAATAAATAAATAAATAACATGGCCTCTGTTTACCATATAACTTAAGCCACTGTCCCCTTTGCTCCCTACTTCCCTATCACACTTACTTCCTTTCATTTCCTAGAATATATCACAATCTTCATTTCTTAGAACTTTGCATTGGTTATATTATCTCCCGAGAATCTGGACATGAGTTTACATGATTGGATTCCTTTCATCAGTCACATATTGTCTTAAAAAATCCTGCTGATTTCATCTAATTCATATCCATTACTTTCTATCCTAGTTACTTGTTCTTTGCTTAGCAGTTTTCTCAATTTTGTTACTAATGAATTTCTTTATTTATTATTATTTTTTTCTGGTACCGGGAATTGAACTCAGGACCTTCCACTTGCCAGGCAGGCATGGCACCAATGAGCTAAATCCCCATCACTTCCTCACTTATTATTATCTTTACTTTCTTATCTTAAACTTCCCAAAAGGAAGAAACAAATTTTTACTATCCACTGAAAAACAAACCAGTAGTATATAGTAACTGTTACTTATTAAGTTCTCATAATTAGTTAACAATTATTGAATATGCTGCCCTCACACCAAGCCTAAAACTTATCACATTGATTACTCTCTTTTTATCATTTCCTAGAGATATGGGAAACAGCACATGTAAGCTATCTCAGTGAAATATATACATGGAAAATGAAGATTTCTTTGCACATGACCATTCTTCCATTTGTCTCTCCACATACATGTGCAGAAATCTCCACTGCAGCTCAATTCCTACTCTGTATAGTCACAACTAACCTTTATTCCCTATTTATAACCAAGTCATGAGATGCTGTACCTATTTATCTTGACTTGAGTTTAACTATACACATCTCTGTCACAAATATTCTACCCATTTGTCCCTTCATTCTCTTCCTCACATCTTCCCTAAAGTCCTCATAGCTAACAGCATCTAGATGGTATTTAAGAGTATTTTAACAGGTTTATACCATAGTAAAAGGCTAGTAAAATTCTAAGCAAAGAGATGTTTTTCTCAAATATATATTTTCTTAAAATTTTGTAATAGGAGTTCAGTATTTTTTAAAAATAAAAAAGTATTTTAAAAAATCTATAATGTAACAATATTACTTGTAAATGCCCAAACTAGAAACAATCTAAGTGCTTCATCAACAGAAGAAGGGCTAAGTAAATTACGGCTCATTAATAAAACAGTATACAAAATAAGAATGAACAATCTGCACCACACGAAGCCACGAGAATCAATTTCACAAACATACTGGTGAGTAAACAAAGCCAGACATAAAAATATATACTGTATGATTCTATCTTTATATAGTTTAAAAATAGTGAATCTAACCTATGGTGTTGTTAAGGTCAGAATAGTGGTTAACCATGAAGCAGAGAAATGACTGGAAGTCAGGAGGGGGTAAAGTTCTATTTCTGAATCTATGGGCTAATTAGATGGATATGATTACTTTATGAAAATTCATTAAGTGCACATAGTGATATGTGTACTTTTGTGTGTATATTTATATTTCAATACATTTACTTTTAAAAAGATATACTAGGCTAGGTGTAGTGTTACACGCCTATGGAAGGCTGAAGCAAGAGGATCGTGAGTTCAAAGCCAGCCTAGACTATACAGTGAGTTCATGGTCAATCTGAGTCTCAAAAAACAAGCAAAAAAACCCCAATATACTAAAAAGACATTAAAAGGAAATAATAATTTAAATAGTGTGGATAAAATGTGAGCAAAGACAGGTAAATGAATGGTACAGAAAACATTGCTATGAAATCTATGGGTCCTTCTCCCTCTGTCTCCCCACTCAAGAAAGCAATTAAAAAAACTATAGCAATTTTGCAGAATTTCTTGGAGAGAGTTAAATTAGAGACTTAATAGGACAAATGAGATATAAATGATATCATTTGCTAAATAACAGTAATAAGTAGACAGCTATGAAAGTATAAACATTAAGAATTAACATGGTAATTTCAGGATTTATCTGCAAATTAATTAAAAACTAATACTCTAAAAGGAAAGTGATAGTCAAAATCATAATTAAGCACTGAAATACGTGTGAGAAAAATCAAGAAAATACTAATGTAATAAAAGTCCACACAAATTGGGATAAGAAACATTAAACATTGGTAAGTTACTGAAATAAACAAAATGAGCAAATAAGATCCAAAGTAAATAAAAGTATAAACAAATGTAGGACAAAAACAAAAAATGTAGGACAATAATCACTGATAAATCAGAATAAATTATAAAATGTATCCTATTAAATCTGATGGTTTTCATTTTTTAAAAAAATCCCAGTGTTAACACAGTAAAGCTGAGACTGTCATATATGGCCCCAGCTTGGTGACAAGCCAGATTATGACCCTGGCATTCTGAACATTCTGAAGTCAGAGGTTCCTCAATGCCAGTGATGGTAAACCTTTTAGAGACTGAGTGCCAAACTGCAACCCCAAACCCCCTTATTTATCGCAAAGTGCCAACACTGCAATTAAACTTGAATACTGAGGTTTTAGTTTAGAAAAAACAGCTCATATATTATCATCTTTTATCTTTAAAAAAAAAGCACAATAACACATATGCTATAGGTTCACTGCCACTGCTCTATAGTATAAAACAGCTGAGTTGAGACAGTCACCAGATGTTTCCAAATTTGATGATGCCAGTTCACATTCCTGCAAGCACTAAAATTATTCACATTTAATGACAACCTTTTCTGTGATAACTAATGTTCTGGAAGTACTGGTTATAAATGGACACTGCATTGTCATCAAGGTAGGTATGGCTGAAAAATTAGTAAAAGACAGGAAACATGGACATTCAAGGATTCTGCATTTACATAGCTTCACGAATATCTTTCCATTCTGGTCTAAGTCAAAAAAGCTTAAAGTGGAAAGAATAATCCATGTATTATATGTGCTTTAATCAAGATAAAATGGACTGCACCTACACTTAAACAAAAGGCCCTGCCAAACACCAAAAATTGACCCATGGTAGTAAATTTTACTTTTTGACCTTTTATGATACATATGTAAAATTAATTATAATTAATTGTAATTGTATGTACATATTTAAAATTAATTAAACAGCTTACAGTCTAATGAATCAAAGTGCTTTATTCTAGTCACATTGCTAACGTGAAAACAATATGTTAACCCACCTTAGGTAAGTATAAAAGAAGTTATTTCTATTTATAGGAAATCAGCTTAATTTAAAAGAAAATAAAGAGCAAATTATCTGGCCATAAAATGGTCTTCCTGAGGTATAATATTTCTGGAAGGAGAAAGTCATTCATCACTTTTTTTGCTAATATATGATCATATGGGGCGCTCTGGGAGGCTGAGGCAAGAGGATTACAAGTTCAAGGCAACTTAGTAAGACACTGTATAAAACCAAAGAGGGGGAGGATGCTAGAGATACAGTTCAGTATGAAGGCCCTAGGTTCAATCCTCAGTATCTTTAAAAAAAGATATTGGGTAAACAATACAGTATTTATGACACTGACAATTCTAATTATGTTAACACCAGGGTTAGTGTGTTAATGTATCAAAAGACCTGAAGCTGGGCATAGTGGCAAGTTTGTGCTCATCCTGGGTAACTTAAGTGATTAGTGAGACCCTGTCTCAAATTTTAAAAGGGCTGGGGATATTTGGGTTAAAACCTCAGAGAGGGGAAAGAAGGGAGAGAGGGGAGAAAGGACAGAGTGGAGAGAGAGGGAGAGAGAGACAGAGAGACAAAGCGATCTGAAAATGTTAAAACTCAAACCATAGGGGCTGGGGATTTAGCTCAGTGGTTCTGCCGCCTGCTTCGCAAGTGCAAGGTGTCCCAAGTTCGATCCCCGGTAAAAAAAACAAAAAAAATCAAACCATAGAACTGCACTTCTGAAAATCAATAATGATCAAAGACTGAATTCCAGTGAAGTAATGAATAATCTTCTTGTTCTATTGGTAATCTTACTGCCTCTTTCACCAAGGAATCAGAAACTATAGAAAGAAAAATATGCATTCTCACCTTCACACTATCCAATCAACCTGTGTCTGAATCTTTATCAATGCATGATTTTCCTTTATAAGTTGGTCCCACTCGTTCTCATGTACTAAAAGTCACTGCTTACAAAACTGATTTCCTCTTTGAAATAATTCCCTATAAACATGTTCTCATATCTTACATCTTCAAATATATTCCCTGTATTCTATGTATCTCCTCTTTTATGTCAAAATTCCTCCAAAGAAGTGTTTATATTATTTCCCTATCATCTCACCTCCCATTTTCTTTTTTCTTTTCTTTTAATTTCCCAGGAACTCTTAAAATAAAACATTATTGTGGATTATTTATAACATACACAGAAGTAAAAACAATATATCTCCATATATATAGCAGTCATCAACTCATACCCCATGGTGGCCTATGTACAGCTTAATCTACTTTCTTTATATTATGTGAACCAAATTGAAGACAATGGGGTTATTCTTGAAAATACTGTGCTTTACTAAAAAGAATAAAGTATTTGGTGTGATTTGCATCTTTTGTCCAGGCTTCCTATTTTCTGCCAGTTCTACAAATTATGAGAGAATGGGCTTATTTATGAGATTGTGGCTCCAGTCGATACTCCTTTTTCTGTAATCTATTGCTGTACAATCAATCATATGCAGAACAGACATGCATCCACAATAAACACAAAGAAAAACTACAAAGACACTAAGCTGCTAAAGGCTCTATAACCAGTCAGGAGTAAACATACATGGGAAACATCTCAAGAGAGGAAAAAATTTCTGAGTTTTATTAGCACATGAAAACACAACACTCAGAAGGGTGAAGGGGGTGAAGGGCACACAGGTAATGGGGAAAAAATAAAAACCAAGATACATCATGTAAAGGTACAAGCACCCAATGATAATTGTAAATGTACTGTATACCTAAAATGTACCAATAAAAGAATAAAAAAAAAAAAGAAAAGAAAATACAACACTTAGCCGATTGTACTATCTCAGCTAACACTTTCAGGATTTCAGCTGAAAATACAGTCTATGCACAAAGAATCCCATCTGTGGCAGCTCATTAGAACCTCAGGCCCTTCTTGGACCTGCTGAATTCCAGTCTGCATGTTGGGCTGCACTGTAGCTCAGTGGCAGACCACTTTGTCTAGAGTTCCAGCCCTAACACCACAAAGCAACACAAAACAAGAGACTAGAACCTGCATTTTAACACAATCCCCACGTGGTTTATATGTGCAGTAAAATTTTACTGAGAAACATTAGTTTATAATCAATTTGGGGGGGGCTGGGGATTTAGCTCAGTGGTTCCACCACCTGCCTCGCATGCCCAAGGACCTGAGTTCAATCCCTGGTACTAAAAAAAAAATCAATTTGGGGAGATATTGGCGCTTGTGCAGCTGATGCAAGAAAATCTTGTAGATGAATTTCCCAATATTTAGTAAACATTTAGTTGTTTATTTTGTTTTGTTTTGTGGTGCTGAAGATTGAACATAGAGTCTTGCCCGTGCTAGGCAAATGCTCTACCACTGAGATACACCACCAGCCGAAGCCATTTATTGGTTTACTTGCTTACTGTATGATGCCCCTACTACAATGTCAACTAAATGGAAAGAAGGCTATGAAGAAATGTATACATAAAAGTTGAAAGACAAAAGATGAGCTAGAAAATAATTAGATCCAAAATACAGGTAAAATTATCACTAGTGAAAAAAGTTTTCCCCTCCTGAAGGGGGAGGGAACTATGAGAAAGAAGAAACAAGTAGTGCATTGAAATAGATGAAATCTCTTTGGTCACTTAGGCTGAAAAGATCTATGTTTTCCTCCCAAGTTTCAGGTCTCATCTTCACAATAAACATCTAAGGGTTGTGTTTTTTCTCAGTCAGCAGGTGTGCACCATGCCACAGCAGTTTACCTCTGTCTGACCAGCATTTGCTTACCTAGGCTCCATGTTCTTTTCTCATCCTGCACAATCATCCAGGGCTCTTTCCCTTGTTCCAATAGGGTAATCACATCTGGTTTAGTAATGGAACATCCTGCTTGAAAGAAAAGTACATAGTACAGAAAAAATTGATTTGATCAAGTCTTCCAAACAAAGAAGGCTATCAGGATTGAAAAACATTCAAATTAGAGTAACTTTAGGATCATAAAGAAAAATAACCAAGAGGTAGGGTTGTGGTCTTATTTAAATTAAATTCATTACAGGCTCTGTCCTTTGAGAGGAAGTAACAGTTTAGAGTACGGGTTACAAATCCTGTCTCTGACACCTGGGTCACTAGGGTAAATACTTTCATCTCTTTGAACCTGTTTTCTCAGTTTCTTGCCAGGATATTTGTCTAGTGTTAAATGCAAATTTTACATATCCTACACTTTTAATCACAAAGCAGTTAAAAGAGAATATGTTTGTTTTAGGAAAGAGAATAGGTCCACCTGAGTTTTAACTAACTTGATTTGACCCAGCATCATATACATTATTACCTCTTAAGAGGTGAGCAGAGTCAAAATCTCTCTTCCTAGTCTTATTGCAGGTGATTCCACGAATAACATAAGACTATTTCTTGCAGTGTGATACCAGAGTGCTTTGGAGTAGTTTTGCTATGTCTTAAGAATTTACACTCAAGGGTCATTACAAAGGTAGTAAGAAACAAAGCAAGTTGTAAAGATCACTGAATTATGGCAGGAAATGAAAATACTTAATACAGGTGTCTATTCCCAAACCACAAAGAGATATTCAGATAGTTTTTAGAGAGCCCTGATATGCAGTCTTATAAATTTCTAAATTATTTGATACAACTAAGCTTACCCAGTGACAACAAGTTGCTGTAGTTCTCTAAAACTACATCTCTGTACAAATTTCTCTGATAAGAGTTCAGGCATTCCCACTCTTCTTGAGAAAAGTCTACAGTCACATCTCTGAACATCACCAAATCCTACAATGACAAACACATGTATTATCCATAAGGTGAAAGAAAATAGTTTCAAGATAGAAGAAGGGTGTTAGTGATATATGCTGATTTTAGATATCAAATAAACAGGTTGGAGCTAGAAACCTGTGATGTGGGTAGGTGGGAGTAAGGAAATAAGTGTGACTGAGACAGAATACATGTTCTTGAAGATCTCTGTTGCTTCCCTATAATCTCAGTATTCTGGGAGACTGAGGCAAGAAGATGGCAGGTTTGAGTCTAGCCTGGGCAACTTAAGACCATGTCTCAAAATTTTAAAATGTTAAAAAGCAGCTGGGAGGGCCAAGAATTTAGCTCAGTGGTTTCGCCACCTGCTGTGCAAGCACGAGGACCCGAGTTTGATCCCCGGTACCAAACAAAAAAAAAAAAGCAGCTGGGGAACATAGCTCATCAAGAAAGCCCTGGGCTTGGGGCCAGGGGTTTAGCTCAGTGGTTCCGCCACCTGCTTCACAAGCACAAGGTCCAGAGTTCGATCCCTGGTACCACAAACACAAAACAAAACAAAGAAAGCCCTGGGCTTAGTCTCTGGTACTTAAAAAAAAAGAAATCTATTAACATACACCAGAGATTGGCAAATGTTTTCTATAAGGGACCAGTACTAGGCTTTGCATGCTACATATGGTCTCTGCTGCATATCCTTTTTAAACAAGTTTCTCAAAATGTCATTTGCTTGCACAAAAACAGATCATAAACTCAATTTGGCTTATGGGTCAAATGTGTAGTATTTATAGTTTGCCCAAAATTGCTGTAGCCAAACCTTCCTGTGTACTATGTGATACCTAATTTTATTTATTTTCAGACATGTTCAGGTAATTACCAGAAATTCCTTGTTAATTGAAATAAGTTCCCAAGAATTCTGTTTGTGAAGGACCTAAAAATTTCTCAATAAATATAACTTACTCTTTTTTTTTTTTTATTTGGTACCAGGGATCAAACTCAGGTCCTTGCATAACTTACTCTATCTTCTTTTCTTTTAAGGATTAGAAAAAATTGTTGGAATTTCTCCCCTGAATAAACCGTAAAATCTCTATTTTGAAAAAGTAAAGTTTGCATAAAGTTAAAGAATTTTTTTAGATCTATCATTATATTGTGTCATTAGCATTTTTCCTTATTATAACAAGCCATTTATTGAATATTTTAAGTTTATATAGTAGTCCACTTTTTGGACATGTTAGACTAAATAGTGATTATATTTAGATATCACTATACTTTTAAATATATTAAATTACATTTCAAATTTATATTACAAAAAATTCTAAAACTACAATGTCAAATGTGTTAGCTTAGAAATGAGCACTCTTGGGCTGGGGATTTAGCTCAGTGGTTTGACTGCCTGCCTCTCAAGCGCAAGGACCCAAGTTCAATCCCTGGTACCATAAAAAAAAAGGAAAAGAAAAAGAAAAAGAAATGAGCACTCTAATCATAATTAGTTCAAATTCAGATGTGCTATGATATATAAATGAGATAGGGTTTATGTATACGAGATAGTAAAGAGTTTAGAAAGAAAAGAATGTAAAATATCTCAGTAACTTTTATATTGATTACACTTTTGAAATGATAACATTTTGGCTATTTTGGGTTAAATGAAACATTAAAATTAACTGCACCTGTTTCTTTTTATTTTTTACATGACTACTAAAATATAGAAGATTATATATGTATCTTGCACAGTACTCCATATTTTAAAAATGTGACTACTAGAAAATTTTTAATTACATATGTCACTCACATTACAATTCTTTTCAGCAGTGCTGTTCTATGGTATTCTCTAAACCTTCTCAGATCAAATATCCCCCCTTAGGACTTGCATTTTTGCTCCATCTCTGCCCCAGACAAACAGCACACAGGAGATACTGAAAGACTTGGTCAGCTGGGCATGGTGGCGCATGTCTATAATCGCAGCACTCTGGAGGCTGAGACAGGAAGATCACCTGAGTTTGAGGCCAGCCTGGGCTACATAGTGAGTTTAAGGCCAGCCTGAACTACATAGTGAGAACCTGTCTCAAAAAGAAACAGACCAAAAAAAAAAAAAACTAGGTCAATACGCACATAGCTGCAAAGGGAGAACAGAAGGATATACAGGAAGTATCTGAGCTGCCAGGCTCAATCCCTCACTGGAATGAGAGACTAGGAAGTAGCTACTGAGCGGGGCTCTGCTAAGAAGTTTCAGAATAACAAATGAGAATGTTCAAATAGCTGAAAAAAAGCGACAGAATTATTTTATTTTGGTGTTTTTTGTTTTGGGGTTTTTTTTTTTACACGAAGTCTCAATATGTAAACCAGGCAACTTTGACTTCCTGCTATGCAGCCCAGGTTGGCCTTGAAATCACAATCCTCCCACTGCTTCCTCCCTAGTCATGGGATTACAAACATGTGCCGCCAAGTCCAGCATAAAGATAGAATTTTAAATAGAAACTAACTTACATGAGCCATGATTTCAGAGTTCCAAGGACTGGCCAGTATCCTCAGGGTTCATTTACTGGAGTATCGGAGTCTACAGAGGCCAGAGCTGGGGGAAGAATGTGAAGCCTTCAATAGAATTGCCTCAGAGCTTTCCAAATGTTAAAAAACTGTCATATAACATTTCTCCATTCCTACATGCAATTGTGGCTCCCAACACACAGACAAGTAATGAGAGGTTAAAGAGGTAGATTAGACAAACGTCTGTCCTCCCCAAAACTGTAGGAGAACCAGCTACACAGGGACTAGACACACAACAGAGACTCTCTTGTGTCAAAGCATGTGCTCAGCCACTTGGGTAGAAGAGCTTCCTGCATAGCAGGAAGTCAAAGTCTCTGTCCCCTCCACACACGGAAGTGGATCTGGACCTGAGAAGGCACTCTGCAGACCTATCCTGAGCAGATCCTCCCTCCATTCCCATCTTCCCAGCTTAGAAGAGGCCACACCCTCTAAACCAGAACTTCCTTCCTGGAAGGACAGCTGGCCTTCCCAAACTTGAAGGTAGAAAACCTCATAGCTGGGCTGGGGACTTAGCTCAGTGGTTTCACCGTCTGCTGCCCAAGCGCAAGGACCAGAGTTCAATCCCCGGTACCAAAACAAAAACAAATCTCCAGTCTTTTGGGGGTTGAGGATTCAGCTCAGTGGTTTCGCCACCTGCTGTGCAAGGGCAAGGACCCAAGTTCGATCCCTAGTACCAATAAATAGATAATTAAATAAATAAATAAAAATAAATCTGAAAACATCATGGCCAAGAATTTCCCAAACTTTGTTGTGAATTGGATCACCTGCAGATCTTTAAATATACTGATACCTGGCTCTCCCCATCCACTCAAACATTCTGATTTAATTAGCATAGGATATGACCTGGAAACGATGATTTTAAAGACCTCCTGCGGTTTTTATAAAATCTCCCTCTGGAGATTTTAATAGGTAGCAAAGTTTGGTAGTCAAACCTCAGCGAGCACCAGAGTCACCTGAAGGACTAGTTAAAGCAGAGTGCTAGGCCCTACTCCTAGAGACTGGTGTTCAGGAGGTTTGGGACTGGATTTGAAGGTCTGCATTTCCAAAAAGTTCCCAGGTGATGCTGCTACTACTTGTATCAAATGCCACACTTTGAGAACCACCTGTACAGACAGTGTCTAGCAGCCTTTATTATGGCAAAACTGCAGCTGCACACTGTGGCTTAGCTACCATTCCCAGAATGCACTGAGTTCACTGCTCACTATTTTCCCATTCAGGACCATCAATACTCTCTGCATGTTCACAGTTACCACCCAACCTTTCCTGGTATGCAGACTGGGAAGAAGTGAAATTGTGAAACTTGAGCATGGATAATTCTCTAGAAAGAAATAACTCATCGATTCATTAGTTAGAACTCACCAAGTAAGGAGATGCAAACTAAATGAATTGGATTAGCAGATTTGAAAAATTAATAATACCTCATTCATTATTTACTATGTTTTGGGGGAAACAGATACGAAATAAGAATGATATAGAGAATGAAATGATGTGTGGATACCAACTATTTATAATGAAACCAAAAAAGCTAGTTATCCTTCAACAATGTTAAATAAAATAACATTTATGGTAGCATTCAAGATTAATGTGTAAATTAATAATTTCTTACATATTTTTATTCACAATAATACTTATAATACAATATCGTATATTTTTCCTATGACTAAGTATATTTTTGTTATCACATAACATTCCATGACATAGATACAGTGTGACTTAATCATATCCATATAAATGGATACTAATTTTGTAAAAGAATATTCCCAAAGTCATTTTCTGTTATTCCAGACTTTGATTCTAGATCAGTGGGAATCAATCTTGTTGGGCTTACACATTTTGATAATATAAAATTATGGATTTCCTCCCACTAATTAAATATTTACATATATGCAAAACTTCCAAATATAATCTTGAGATATTTGATGCTCTGAAAGCCCATAAACAGAGTCCAAAGACTTCACATTATGACTCTCTGTTCTGCTTCACTTGAGCTTTAGGCTCATTTTGCTCCTTACAAGAATCTATCTATCACATTTAACATTTTCACTGGCCTTGGGAATACGGAAACGCTGATGGAGATGACTAAGCATTATCATGTAATAGCAACAGCTACTATTAAATAATCAATTATGGACTGTGAGCTGAGTATTCTTCTAAGCGTTTTACAGATGTTAACTCATGAAATATTCAGAATCACCCCGTAAGTATATACTATCAATTCTGTAATAATAGTATATACTATTACATATGAGGAAACTGCTCAGAGTATATAACACAAACTCCGATATCAGTGCCCGTTAGTATTCAAATCCTCTTAATCTAGGTCCAGCATTCTTAACCACACTGCACCTCTTTCAGTCCACCCAAAGATATACCCAAAATAAATTCATGCTGCCAAACCACAAACCACATCTGACTGGCACCAAAACTTTCACTTATGGATACCCTGGAGGAAAAAAAAATTATACTCTTATACCAGAGTCACTAAGATATCTAACTAAACCCTACACCAGTTCTAACAAATCAGAGCCAAAAACAAAGCATGAACATCAACCTTCAGCAGGAGTTATTTCTCTATCATCAAAACCCTTAAAAGAGGACCGGGGATTTAGCTCAATGGTATCGCCGCCTGCCTCGAAAGCAAAAGGTCCCGAGTTCGATCCCTGGTACCAAAAAAAAAAAAAAAAAAAAAAATCCTTAGAACAAAATATATATCACATGCCTAGTTAATTATAGAGGACACTAGAAAAAGGAATCTCCTAATTAGGTCCCTTGCCATTAAATAGGTAGAGAAATTCTCAAGCCCTACCCAATGAATAGATCATTATTAAGAGTTTTCAAGGGAAGGAGATCAAATAATTCCATGTCTAGAAAATCAAATGCGTTTTACAGAAACAAAGAAGCAGCACAAACTCAAGCAACCTAGCTTTTAGACGAGCATCAGCGACTGGCTTCACTTTAACAAGAGCCTTTTGTGGAGCCAGCAAGACTGAGGATGCAGAGGGGTTCGTGATACCCCAAGGTTTTCAGAACTTGGTCAGAAACCACTCTCCACGCTTCCCAGGCCCTGGCTAACCCTCACCTGCATACACGAAAGCAACTGGGCGGGAGGAGGGAGGTCTGCAGCCACCCGCGTCTGAGACTGCAGCTCTAGATACCCCACTATGGCGGGGCGGGGGGTCATCTTGTGTCCAGTTGGACCTGTACAGCGGGTCCTCTCGAACCTATGTCCCGGCTTTTTTCAGGGGAACTCCATTGTGTGGCTCCTCTGACTTCTCTCTCGGCCTTTCTTTACAACCAGACCTAGGTGGCTGACGCGAGTCAGAGGTGTGCAGAGCCTCAGGGTCTCCCACTGTACAGCAGGCCGCACCCACAAAGGGGGCCGGCACCGTCACTGACACACAAGCTACCACCCAATCCCTCGATCTGAGAGTTCGCAGACCCTGGCCTGTTCCGGACTCGTCTGCCTAGGGAAAACAAGCACACCCGAGTCTGGCTCACCGAGCTCAGTCTTCACTCTATCCCAACGATGCCAAGCACCGCCGCGCCAGGATTCTACAGAACGCCCGGCTCGGTCCGGGATTGCGCAGGCGCGGGGCGGGGCGGGGTCTGGGGCTGCTAGGCGCAGGGAGGAGGAGTGGAGCCAGGACCGGCGAGGGAGAGCGGCACAACAGAGGGGCACCCAGGTGGTCCTGATGTCCAGTGCCTCACACCTATAGAGGAAACCCCCTGAGTGACCGATGCTCTTGAGGATAACCAGTCTGCACCCTCGTGGGAGCGCCAGTCCCAAAATAGAAAGTCGTACATTCCGGTTTTCTCATTAGGTTGGTGGCTCGGCCTCCCCTCCACAAGCACCGCCCCTCAGAGGCGCCTGTGGTTTCAGTCCACAGTACGCAGGCGTGAGGGATATGGGGAACCTGCTCCAACGGGGAGTGTGAGAGATGTGGGGCTGCACCAGCCGGAAGGGTGAGGGGAGTTTGGCGCTAGGACCCCAAGTTGGTCTGGAATGGCCAAATCTTTAGGCCTGGAGTGATGGCGGTGGTCACCACGGCTTTGCCAACTTTGTTCTCTTGAATAAGGTGCTAGTGTCTGGGCTTAGCCACTGTACAATTATCATATTAACTTTTGTGGGAAGATACATTGACACCATATAAATGTCCTGTTCCTCAGCAAACTTTTACCCGCTAGTTTTAGCATCTACTGATTATTTTTACCTGAACCTATGACTGTGATGGTGTGATGTGATTTTCTAGCTATTTTTCTTGTTACACTTATTAGTTAGCATTCTACTGTAAGAAAGCACTTTCTTTTCTCACCCATGAATTTTATTTAATATCTCATTAACAGTATGGGTTCTTATTTACTCAGTGAGTTGTCTATTTGTTTTCATTTTGATACTTGTCTTATCCAAGATTTGGGCCGTGGGAACCCCTTCTAGCTGGATATTGCATCCTGATAGGTCCCTAACATGTTTTACTATTTTCTTATGTTGTGGCATAAAAACATATTTCAGGCTTATCTTGTACAATCAATGTCCTAGCCACAGTGTGGGAAACAAAGCAGGTACTTAAGACTGGAGAAATAGGGAGGAGACATTTTCTCATGTATGCAAGTGAGATGAAGGATTTTACAGTTAAATAATAGTAAACTGTCATGTAAAAAATCAGCACTGCTTATAAACATAGACAGAATATACTAAATATGCAGAGTGGAGTTTGAAAGAAGACTTAAGGTCTTTGGAAAAGAATTCATGTAAGAAATGATGATGACTTATAGTAAGGATAAAAAGGTGCATTAAAAGGGACACCTTTTTGACAGTAAGCATAGAGCTGAGTAGTAGAGTGTTTAACATGCACATGCCCCTTGTTTTATCCCCAGCACTAAATTAATGAATAAATTAAAATACTGGGTGCAATGGCATGTACCTATATGCCCAGCTCTTTGGAGACTGAGGCAAAAGGATCACTTAAGCCATGGGGTTCTGTATTAGCCAGGTCAACATAATAAGACCCCATCTAAAAAAAAATCAGTGATCTACAGAAAGTATGTGAAAATATTGTCATCTGTTGACTCACTACTGGGTATATAATTTCATAATTTTAATGTATTTTTTATATTTTAAAATAATGTAAAAAAAAGGCTTAACATTTTCCACATGAAAAATAAATATTACATATATATACATATGTATATATATATATCTTTTTATGTATATATATCTTAATGGAGAGAAAAAATTATTTTATAAAATTAGAACAAGGTACAGATTAAAAACTATGGATAAATAAGAGGAGGATAAAATGTTAGCAATAGCGGGGAGCGCGCACTTCCATACCCACATGAATTGCAGAAGCTGTGGCAGCACATGGGATACATGCTGCACAGCTGCACAGGTCTTGAAAAGCTGGACCCATGTAGAAGCTGCTACCTGTCGCGCACTCGGCTCGAGACCATATAGACTTTTGTCTGGTGTTGAGTATGTTGTTGGAAGGAAAAACTGTGCCATTTTAATTGACAGTGATCAGTCCATCAGTCGAAATCATGCTGTGTTAACTGCTAACTTTTCTGTAACTAACTTGGCATAGAAAAACATTATTGAAATTTCTACACAGAGCAAACTTTACTGTAAGACAGAAACTCTAACCAAAACTTATTCTTGTTGGACTAGTATTTACAATGTCACATTCATGATTTAAAGAGGAAAAGCAGCAAACAGGTGAAATTCCTACTCTACCAATAAAAGATAATTCTAAGTATGGTACCTTTGTTAATGAGGAAACAATGCAGAATGGCCTTTCTCGAACTTTGAAGACAGGGGATAGACTTACCTTTGGAGTGTTTGAAAGTAAATTCAGAATAGAATATGAGCCTTTGGTTGCATGCTCCTCTTGTTTAGATGTCTCTGGGAAAACTGCTTTAAATCAAGCTATATTATAACTTTGAGGACTTACAGTAAACAACTGGACAGAGGAATGTACTCACCTTGTTATGGTATCAGTTAAAGTTACCATTAAAATTTTGCATCTTCCTCAAATTTGTTTATGTCCAAAGCTAATTTAAGAATGACATTGGGAAGTAACTCGTCTCTTTTTATACAATATGTGCACTCATTTGTGAACATCCGATTGTAAAGCCAGAATATTTTACTGAATTTGTTAAAGCAGTTCAGTCCAAGAAACAGCCTCCACAAATTGAAAGTTTTTACCTACCTGTTGATGAACCAGCCATTGGAAGTAAAAATATTGATCTGTCAAGACGACAGGAAAGAAAACAAATCTTCAAAGGGAAAACATTTGTATTTTTAAATGCCAAACAGCATAAGAAATTAAGTTTAGCAGTTGTTTTTGGTGGTGGAGAAGCTAGGTTGATAACCGAAGAAAATGAAGAAGATAGTTTTTTTTCAGCTCCTAGAACTTGTGTTGTTGACATAGGAATAACAAATATACAGATCTTAATTCCCAACTCCCAGAAAAAATGGATTCACTCAATTATGGATATACTCCAAAGGCAGGGTCGTAGACCTATTCCTGAAGCAGAAATTGGATTGGCAGCTATTTTCATGACTACAGAGATTATTGTGATCCTCAGGGCCAGCCCAGCACAGGATTAAAGACAAAGCCTTCCACAAGATTGGTCAGTCAGTGAAAAACTCATGTCAAGTGCTCCTGAGAACACTGCAACATATGTAGCTGACACAGAATCGGACCAGGCACATACATGTATGTATTTGAGTGAAAAGCCAAAAGAAACAAAAATCTCCAAAACGGAACAAAAATGTGGATCATCTTCACAAGAAGTACCCATTATAAAAGAAGACCCCAAAACAAGCTCCAATAATAACATAGTATCAAATACTCTGGTTAGGGCAAATATCCAAAACTATCAGCTTTCACCAACTAAATTCCCAAGGGTAAATAAAAATAGAGATTGTGCTTCTCAGCATCAACAGACAAATGCCATTAGAAACTACTTTCAGCCATCTCCCAAAAAAAGGGAAAGGGTTGAAGAAAACCAAGAAATGTCTTCATCCAAATCAGCAAGAATAGAAATGTCTTGTTCTCTTTTAGAACAAACACAACTTGCTATAACCTCACTATGGAAAAACAGCAAAATCTCTCAGAATGAACCTATGGACACAAAATCAGAAAACTTATTTACAGATGAAAAAGATTTAAAACCCAGTCTGAAAAACTCTGACAGTAAATCTGTTTCTACAGAAAGTCTAAGATCAAAAAAAAGAAAAGAAATTGATTTGGCCGTAGAACATGAACTATTGGAGCAGTTATTCAAGAACACAAGACCAGAGTTAGAAATTGAAGTGAAAGCTGAAAAACAAGAAGATGTCAACATTAGAAAAAAGCCAAGATTGGATATAGAAACAAATAACAATTTTGATGATAAAGTAATACCAGAAAGCGACAAAATACCTCAAGAAAGTGAAGTTGGGAAGAAATGTGAGCTCAAGAAAGAATCACTGTGATCAACTAAAGAAATATCTAATGATGAACTTCAGGACAGCAGTGAGATCCTTCAAAAAAAAGTTGTTAATGATTGAATTTAGTTCACTGGTGGTTAATAACTCCATTTACAGAAATCTGTGTGGGGTAAATAATGATCATGGTCATCAACTAAAGATTTTCAAGAAATTCAAAAAAGGGTCACATTTCCTGGAGCAGGTAAACTTCTGCACATCATTGGAGGATCAGATCTAATAGCTCATCAGGCTCAAAGGAAAGCAGAATTTGAAGACTGGTTGAGACAGGAAACAGAGGTACAAAAGCAACATGCAAAAGAAGAGTCTCTTGCTGATGATCTCTTTAGGTATAATCCTAATGTTAGAAGGAGAAGATAATTGAGAAAAAAATTATGAGCCGTAGCCTGCCTCACAAGCGCAAGGTCCCCAGTTCGATCCCTGGTATCAATTTTAAAAAAAAAGGAAATTATGAAAACAAGCTTCCCAGCAAACATTTACTTCAGGCTGAGTTACATGACTACAGTGTATGGAAGAGATTTAAGTTTTTGTGGCCCAAATTTGTTAAATAAAATGCACAAAACTCTAAAAAAAATGTTAGCAATAAAGATGGAAGCTAAGGAGGCAAAAGTGGTTTTATCATGAAAGCCAAGACAGTATTTGGATATCATAAAGAAATAATGATAAAATATATCATTTGCTGTGGTCCATCAAAATAACTACCAAAAACTGACTGTATAAACTAGTGACAGGTGACCCGTGGTTCCACGTTATAGTTAACTCCAGCATTTTTATCTACTTATATTAACTGATAATTTCATTAATGTTCGTGATACATAATTACATTCATCTTGGGGAATTTTTATGCCTCCACCAACCTGCATTTCCCTATTCTTTCTCCCCATCTTTACAGAGTATACATCCCTGTTTCCTATTATCTCTCTTTTATTTTGTTCTTTAAGTTATTTATATTTTGGGTTTCTCAGCGAAATCATGTGATATTTACCATTATGT